CGTACAGAAAAACAAGTTTCGACTTCACCATCTCAGAGAATTAGCATTACGATCTCAGCGACCCGAGAAGTTCGAAAGCGTCGAACTTAGCGAATTATAGCCGATCCTAGCTTTGCCAATAGGCCTGACTCGTCGAGTGAATTATCTCCGCCATCGATTCAATTAGCTCCGGTGAGTCTCACATAGCGAAATAAAATTAACCAAGTTTCTCTAGCAATTTCTACTCCCGTGGGCCCGAATCTACGCTCAGTTTCGTGGTTTGCGACTTTGTCTGCGACTTTCCGGAGATAAATACTCCGGAGCGTCCATTAGTGTTTGTTTCAGGCGTCAAGGTTTTGTTTTATTTTTCTAGGTCTTCCTACGGACTACCCTACGGCGTCTTACTCCTCCTTTCCCCCTCGAACTATTAAATACCCTTCAGTTGTCTCGGACCGCCTTCACCCATATCACGGGGTTTAGGTTTATTCCTTTTGGTCCTTGGTGATTGTTGTGTGTCAGTGCATATCATCGCTCTTTCTCTCATTCTCCAATTTGCTCTGGCTCTGGCTCTCACTCTCAGACCCCAACTCATGTTCACTCTTGTGCCCAGACTCATACTCTTGTTCGCTCTCCAACATCTATTTGTACTCGCATTTGTTCTCTGACATCTACTCGTGTTTATTCTCGCTCTCCGACATCAACTCTTGCTCAGGTGCGCTCTCTGTGGCTCCCTCGGATGCTCTCTTGATCCCGATCTCTGCAGCCAGCCCATGCTTCGTTGTCCAGAGGTCAACATGCGAAATCACTCGCCTCTCATCAAGGACATGTACATTCGTCTACGTCACGAATCCAGTGCATCAATGCCTGTTTGCCAAGGCGACGACGGTCTCTGTTGCCGGTTCCGTTGCCAGAGACGAGCTGTTGTGTCAAGCACCGACATACGCAGGGAAGTGGTACCCGCAGCCGGTTCCACATGCAAGACGTTCAAGCACTTGCACATGCAGTCCTCAAGGATGCCATGCGACATTACCGAGCCCAACTATCCACTGAGGATCCCTACCCCTCAGAGGCCATGGAGGAGGATTGGGCGAAAGCTGCATAGGCTAAGGCCTGCAGTGCAAAAGGAGTAGACATACCTCTGGAAGAGGAGGCCATGGAAATGGTGTGTCTATCCTCTGTATGATGTTCTTCTGCATTTACCACGGCTGTCTAGATCGTTGAGCGCGGTACACAACTCCGAGGTGAGATCAAATTCAAGGCTCGCCCTCTTGTGAAAATCACGTACTCCTTACGAGCACCAGCCAATCAAGAGCCTGTGCTGAGTAACTGTAATCGCGTGTCTATGCTTCTGGAATGTCTGGCATTTACCTATCTGGTGAGATCTCACTTGACTGATCAATGGTGTCATCACTCACTGACTGCTCTATTAGAAACCAGAGGAACAGCTTTGTATCTATGAACATCTGGTCATTCAAGAATTAATTAATGATGCTTGGTTCCAGAATCCGAAGGATGAAGGTGTCATATATAGTGAGTACTTCGGGCAACGGATGCCTCTTCCGACTCTCGCTCTTGTGCTTACAGCGGTGAGTGGTCTCCTTTCACTGTTAGACACCTTGTGACTGACATATTTGCAGATTGAAAATGTCCTTGATGAGTGGAGGACAGGGGAGTACCATGACATACCTTTCTCCAAGGAGACCTACCAGGAGAAGTATGACAAGCACCTGCTTGATCTCGAGAACTTTCAGGTGAAGACAAAGGAGACCCGGATTCTGCCTACCATCTGAGCAGAGCTCCTACAGCATGCATGGTAAGTCAGTAAAATTTCTGATGTTCTGTCTTCTCATATGTTTTGCACTGATTTGTAGTGAGAATGCCCGTGCACCATGCATTCTGGGCCTTCAGGCCCCTCATTAATAGATGAGGACACAAAGGCTATGCAGGACTGGATGTCATGTGGTGAGACTGGCTTGGAGGATGATGTTAGGGGGAGTACAAGTGCTGGTATGGAAGTTGAAGGGCATGAAGATATGAATGGTGAGGGAGGGGGGGGGAGCACAGGAGGATAGTAGATAGATCTTCTTTTCATGTTACTGTCCTTCCTGTCAATGAACGGGTGCTCTAACTGCTTATGTGCTATGGTATGTGATCAGGTACCATGGAGAGTTGATTACACATTCTTTCAATAACCTAGTTGCCACATATATAGATCCTGTATATACTATGGTCCCTATGGACCTATTGACCTATAAACCTATATAGTGAGCCCCTGCCTATCCTGCCTATATAAATTAGGCACACCTAATGTGACCTAAAAATCCAGGGTTTACCTTAACCCCTATCCCTGCTATATTGTCCCATTAGGTCTTGTTAGGTTAATGACCATTTACTGATGCACAAGATGCACAATATGTCTTGCTAGGTTTGTATCAATGCAGGGTCTGAAGGACCCAAATCAAGGTTCTAAATAGTGATGTGCTGAGAGGGCTTGGGCTCAGGCCTGACTCACGGAAAGCCTGGGACCGACCCAAAGTTGAGCAGCCATTGTACGGCAGCCACCCTACCATCAAACATAGCTTGATCCTCATTAGGTTGACAAGGAGCAAATAGCTTACTGATGGACTGCTGTCAAAGTCAGTCCATTCTGCATGATCAATACCATCCCCATATCACTGAAGTACTGTGTCCATTTGGCAGGGCCCAGATGTCCAATCCCACTTTGTAGATTTGGGATTTGGTCAGAAGGCACAATTACTGGAGGGGCCAGGGCTCTGCTCCTTGACATGAGCCTTGCTCAGCTGCTGGGGCAGCACCTCCTGTTCCCAGGGTAGCACTACCATTATCTCAGCATATCGGAGTTACCATCTCAGGGACCCTCAAAGTTCAAAAGTGTTGAACTCGGTGATTTACGACCAATCATAGCTTTGCCAATAGGCCTGACTCGTCGATTGAATTATCTCTGCCATCGAGATATTAGCTCCCGTGAGTACTGCATAGCTAAATAAAATTTAACCAAGTCTCTCTAGCAATTTCTATCCCCGTGAGTGCAATCCTACACTAGGTGTCAGTGCTTGCGACCTTTGTTTATTTTTGATTCTCCAGAGATAAACACTCCGGAGCTTTGACCTGTGTTTGTTTCAGGTGTCAAACTACCCTATGTTGTCTTAGTCCTCTTTTCCCCCTCAGAATACTTTATACCCTGGAGTCATCTCAGAGCGCCTCCACCCATCCCGCTGGGTGTGTTAGGTTATTTTCCCTTGGTCTTTGGTGATTGTTGTGTGTGAGTGCATATCAACGGACGTTGCCATAGTCAAGTGAAGATATCATGATCTTTTGCACGTTCAATGGATCATATCTGTGTGTTCAATGGAACATACGGTTGAATGCTCCCTGGGATGTCACGTGGATGTTGCCATAGTCCATTCAAGACCTCATGATCTTTGCTGGGTTCAATGGACCATATCTATCTGGTCAATGGAGTGAACGCTCCCATGGATGTCCCGTGGACGTTGATAAGCCCCAGCGATCTTCTGACCCCCGAAATTGCGAATTTGACACACCATACATCCCCTCCAAAGTTTATTCGACACCACCTGTCGAACCTCTTACGCGACAAGTAACCAATGAAGGGTTCTGGATTTAATTCCGGACCTTCTAACGTCCTCAAGGCAGGCGCAGATCACCAAAATGATTTAGCTCCGCAGCCAGATGCTCCGAAGTCACCCGGAAGAATACCTTTGTGACTAATTATCTCCGGGAACGGCGGAGGCCCGCGTCGCAGTGAGTCATTGGTATTACCACTCCCCAGTCATCACTCCCCTTCGTTTCCGTCAAAGCGACTGAGTCAGCGGACGAAAATCGACGGCCGTACGGAACGTATCAGTCAGCAAGCGGCCGGAGCTAATCCGCACGTGATCAGCCTGCAGTACCGCATGATGAGGCACTTCAAGCGAGCATTGACGCGTCGAGGCTACCTATAGGACCTAGGACGAGCACGTGGAAACACGGCAGGATCGTATGGGACATGGTATAGCGGTGGGCAAAGGCTGAGTAATTGTGTGGGATGCAGAGCATATTTGTTATTTAACTCCGGGCGGACGCAAAATCATTCCAATAGCATAAAAATGTATGGAGCGTAGTGGAAAATCCAAGTTTTGTACTTCACCCTCTCAGCGTACCAGAATTATCGTCTCAGTGACCCTCGGAGTCCCTTCGCGTCGCACTTAGCGTCTACAATCAATCCTAGCTTTGCCAATAGGCCTGACTCGTCGAAACTAGATAACTCCGCCATCGCATATCGATCCAAGTAAGCTCCGGATTTAAAGTATAAAATTCACCAAGCGTCTGTAGGCACGAGACTACTGTTCGGGTTCAGTGGAACTCCCCACCCGGGCTACTGGCGAACTTCGGAGATAAATACTCCGGAGAATCGCTATACTGTTTGTTTCAGGCCTCAAGATTTTGTTTGTTTTAGGTTTTCCTACGGGCTACCCTACGGCGTCTAACTTCTCCCCCTCCCTTCGAACTTAAATATTACCCTTCAATCGCCTTAGACCACCTACACCCATACCGCTGGGTGTTTTAGGTTTTATTTCTTTTTGGTCTTTGGTGTTGTCGTGTGTTAGTGCCTATCAACGTTGCCATAGTCCATTCAAGACCTCATGATCTTTCCCAGGTTCAGTGGACCATATCAGTGTATTTGTTAACATTGAACGTTCATTACCATTCCATACAACTTGGACCACCGTAGTGTAGCATAGGATTCCCGTAGTGTATCTAGTTCCGACGTGTTCCAGAAACACCCATGACACGCAGACTTTTTGTGTGCGTCACCACCTCAAGTACCTCGCCGGCTGTGGCATATGGACCCAAGGGAGACACTACAAGGCTGCCATTGAGCTCGCATAGTTGCATGGAGTCAAGGGTGCACCAACACCAGACCCCTTTGCCGACTAAGTGGGGAGTACGGACGCTGCGCCCCCCCCTCGTCATCAACTTCATATCCCTGCTATCATTTGGACATGAAAAGGTTTTAGATCACGCTATCGAATTGATCTGAATCCGCGGCATCGTTATGTATGATGACCATACACTCCGCCGCATATCCACATTGCATTGTATTATGATCACCGCTATTGACACTATCCAATCGCTATGTAAATGACCACTGAGTCTCGGATTATATGATAATGTATTACATGAATAATGCCATCATATCGCTGCCCATTATCATCGAAGACAATGTCTCGCTCTAAGTGGGGAGGGTGTAAGGAGGGCACCACCAAGTGGCAATGAGTTTGGTCGAGTTTGATTACTGAGTGATAGATGGATGGATTGGGCAAGCAGATCGTTAGACTACAACCATCTCACAGAACCTGCTTAGCTCAATAGCCTCTTTTGCATCTCTCACAATAAGACAAGATTCCATTTATTGGTGTGTGTGTGATACAACTTAACTGTACCGACTACGGAGTTTCTACAACATTGTCATAGTCCATTCAAGACCTCATGATCCCTTCCAGGTTCAATGGATCATATCTGTGTATTCGATGGAACGTACCATTGAACGCTCCCCTGGATGTCCGATGGACATTCATGATCTCTTCCGGGTTCAATGGACCATATCTATCTGGGCAATGGAACGTACCATTGAACGCTCCCCTGGATGTCCCATGGGCATTCATGATCTCTTCCAGGTTCAAAGGACCATATCTATCTGGGCAATGGAACATACCATTGAACGCTCCCCTGGATGTCCCATGGACATTGCCATAGTCCATTCAAGACCTGATGATCTCTCCCGGGTTCAATGGACCATATCTATCTGGTCAACGGAACGTACCATTGAACGCTCCCCTGGATGTCCCATGGGCATTCATGATCTCTCCCGGGTTCAATGGACCATATCTATCTGGTCAATGGAACGTACCATTGAACGCTCCCCTGGATGTCCCATGGGCATTCATGATCTCTTCCGGGTTCAATGGACCATATCTATCTGGGCAATGGAACGTACCATTGAACGCTCCCCTGGATGTCCCATGGGCATTCATGATCTCTTCCGGGTTCAATGGACCATATCTATCTGGTCAACGGAACGTACCATTGAACGCTCCCCTGGATGTCCCATGGGCATTCATGATCTCTTCCGGGTTCAATGGACCATATCTATC